TACAATCACCATCTAATCATTCACTTACTCCACAGACATTTTTTTAAAATATAAAATGACTTCTGACAGTCAGTTTTCTAAAAATTCCAACCCAATGCAGTGTTTTTGTTACTGTTATAGCTGTTTATTAAACTTTTTCTTTCCCCAGAGAAAATTCTATTAGCATGTCTGAAGAAAATGTGTCACTCAGAAGGAGGGAGGTCAGCATGAAACCCAGCTCTCTCTCTCTTACCACCCACTCACTTCAAGCTGCAACACTCCCAGTTGTCCTGACTCATAATTTCCAATGTAGGAATCATGTGAGCTGTGCTTGCTATTCTAATTCTCCTAGATATTCCTTAGCAAGGATCTCAGATTTTCATCTTCTGCAATGGAGTTTACTCCAAGACCAACTTCTTGGCCCTCTGCAAGGCGTTGGAATGCCTGTTCTTCAGTTTCATTATGAGACCCACTTTATACCAGTAAAGTCACACCTGACAAAATGTGTACAAACTGAAATTGTATGAGGAAAACAGATTCAATGTCTAATGAGGGTCCACTTCCTGGTTCATTAACAGTCATCTTTTCACCTTACATGGTAGAAGGGGCAAAGGAGCTCTCTGGGGCCCTTTTTAAAAAAGTTTTCCTTGGGGGGGCCAGCAGGTGGCATGGTGGTTAAGGCACTGGACACTTCCACATGCCCAACCATGGTTCAAGTCCCGGACCTGGTGGTTTGCTTTCTCACTTCCAATCTCTCTCTCTCTCTCTCTTTCTCTAGTCAAATTAAAATAAGTCAAATTAATAAAAATAAATAAATAAATGAAATTTACAAAAACAATTACTTGGGACCAGAAGATGTGTAATGGTAACATTGCTGGACTCCCACATAGTAGACTACAGTTCAAGTCCTGGATCTGGCAGCTTAAAATTCATGTTGAGCATGTGTGCATGCATGCCCAAAATCTCAAGAGGAGAATGGAGGAGAAGGAATTGTAGCATGGTCATCCCCCACGAGGAGTGATTTCTCACTTTCTGACTCTCTGTCTCTCTGGCAAGTGCACGTGTCCTATAGTAAAAATCTCTCTCTCTAAAATAGTTTTACTTATTTGGAAGCTCGCAGGTAGCATGATGGTAAGTACAACTGGATCCCACATGGCTCACTATGTGGTTTGAATCCTGGACCTGCAGCTTGAAAAACAAACTAGATTTGTGTACATGCATGCCCAAAATCCTGAAAGGAGAATGGAGGAAAAGGAATTGCAGTGTGGCCATCTCTGCTCCCCGGAGGGGGGTGACTCCTCACTTTCCTCCTCTCTTTCTATCTCTCTTTCTGTCTCTGTCTTTTTCTGATAAGCACATGCATCCTACAACAAAAAAATTTTTAAAGCTTATTTATTTTATTCATGATAGTGCCTATGTGTGTGTGCATGAGAGAGAGAGAGAGAGACAAAGGCACCTTCAACAGTGTCTCATCATCCCACACATACACATACACCTGATGTGCTTTCAAGCTGATCTGGGGAATTTGACCCTGCAGTCAGCCTTGTGACCTCCAAACTGGCAGTTCAGTTTGCTTCTAACTGTACAACCATATTGGGCCTAGGGCCTCTTCTCTGTGGGCACTAATTCCATTCATGAGGTCTCTTCCCTCATGACCTAATTACTTCCCCAAAGTCCCATCTCCAAATACCATCGCATTGGAGTTAGGGTTTCAGTATATGAATTTGCAGGGTGGGGAGGCAAAAACATTCTATCTGTAGCATGTGCTTCACCAAGGGAGATATACAGAGGCAAGGAAGCATATGAAAGATATTCAATATCATATGATATTAGGCAAATTGCAAATACAAAAATGCAATACAATTACACACCTATTCAAAAGGCCAAAATCCAAAACAGTGAGAACACCAGGTGCTGGTGAGAATACGGACAATGGAAACTCTCATTCATTGCTGGTGGGAGTGAAAAGTGGTACAGTGATGTTCTTCTGTGGATTATTACGACTCAATAACTCATTTCTTTTTAAATGCTGAACAATATTCCATTGTTTGGATGTACCATCATTTATTTATTCATTTACCTATCGAAGGACATTCTGGTTGCTTCCAAGTTTTGGCAATTATGAATAAGCTGCTCTAAATATCCATGTGCAGGTTTTTGTATGGATAGAAGTTTTCAACTCAGTTGGGTAAACACCAAGGAGTGTGATTGCTGGATCATATGGTAAAAATATGTTTAGGTTTGTAAGAAACTGCCTAATTATCTTCCAATGATCTATATGATCTATCTATGTGATCCCAACCATATGACATCCTGAAAAAGGCAAATACAATACTACAGTAAAAAGATCAATGGTTTCCAAGAGTAAGTGGGAGTAAGAGATGAATGGGTGGTGCACTGAGGATTTTTAGGGCAGTGAAAATACTCACTATGACACTCTACTGGTGAGTACATGTCATTACACAGTAGCCTAAATCCATAGAGTGTGCAACACCAAAAACAAACACTTCTGTAAACTATGAACTTTGGCTGATAATGATGCATCAGTACAGATTCATCAATTGTAATAAAAGAACCACCTTGGTGTGAGATATTATTGATGGAGAGTCTGTGGATGTGGTGTGGTGGGGGAAGGATATACAATGGAAAATACCTGTACTCTCTGCTCAATTGTGCTATGAGCCTAAAACTGTTCCCCAAAATAGTTTATGTAAAAATTAATTAACTTCAACAACTTTTTAGCTATATTGGCAATGATAAAAAGAGGGAAGACACAAATCACAAAATCAGGAATAACAATGTGTATGTGAGGGGTGAGGGCATTACTACAGACTATAGTCCAAGACAGACAATAACAAATGTTTAAGAGAATGTGAATCAAGTAGAACCTTCATGAAGAGCTGAAAAACAGTGCAGCTGTAATGGAAAATGGTTCCGTAGTTCATTTAAAGGGTAGTCACCATTATCATATGACCTAGTAATTCTACTCTTCAATATAGACCCAAGAAAATTTAAAATATGTCTATGCACAAATTTGTACACAAATTTGCATAGCCAGATTACTAATAATAACCAAAAGGTGGAAACTAACCAAAGCCTATCAACCAATGAGTGAATAACTAGAATGTGGTATATCCACATAATGGATATTATTCAGCCATAAAGAGGAATGAAGCACTGATAAATGCTACATCATTGATGACCCTCAGAAACATTATTCAATGCCCAGACAGACAAATTTATGAGACAGAAAGTATATTAGTGATTTCCAGGAGTTCGGAATAGGGAGAAATGGAAAGACTGATAATGGGTACTGTTTTTTTTTTGGGGGGGGGGGGGGAGGATAATGAATACGTTCTGAAATTAGTAATGATGGTTGCACAATCTACCAAAAAATCTCACTGAACTGTGCATATCAAATGGATGAATTTATGGCATATGAATCGCTCCTTAAAAGTTTTTAAGTGAGATATCAATTTTTTGCTTATTAAATCAACAAAGATCCAAAAGTCTAATAACACACTATAGTGATTGAAGGTGTTCTGAAGCAGGCAATTGCATAATTGCAAGTGGGAATATAAATTGGCACAATTGTTACAGAGAGGGTTTTATCACCATCAAAAATATGACTGACTCAGCAATTCCACTTTCAGGAATTTATGCTTCAGGTGTACCCCACTTTCTTGAAATTATGGCATATATGTGCTAGATATGTGTAGCAGTGGTTTTTCTTTAAGCTTTATTTGTATCTCTTTTACCTAATAATATGGAATGTGATAACAAAGTGTCACAAACTAAAATGAAAGTTGACACAATCTAAGAATGTATTTTTGAAAGAAATCCGACCTTCTATATCAACTGCTTTGAGAATGCCAGCTCTGAAACATCTTACGTACCATTAAAAATGTGGAGTTTGGGCTCAAGGGAAGTTGGATCACCAGCCTGGTCAGCCCAAGGTCTGATGGGCTGGAGGACAGTATGAACAGATGCTATAAAAGGTGTTTTTTTCTCTCTCTCAGTTTCATAAATGATATGTGATTCATAATATCTATCATACATATGCATACATATATATATGCATATGTATGATAGATATCCCTCTATCATAAAAGGGAAAAAAGCTATTTTAAAATATGTTTTTGAAAACTATATTATATTGTTTTTTCTTATAATGAAAAAAAAGTGCAAACCTGTAAAAAGGTAAGGAAAATATTATCAACAATCTAAATAGTCTTCATCAGAAACCAGTTAAAGAAATAGTCGCACATTCATGTAGTGTAATATGATGCAAAAAATAAAGAATGAGGAGTCTCTTTATGTACTGATAAAATTATCTCTGCACTAGATCACTAAGATAGAAAAGCAAGGTACGGAACAGTGTGTGTAGCATATTCCACTTTGTACGAAAAGGGAGGGAAAACACACATGTGTAGATATGCTTCCTTATAGATGCATAAAGTGTCTGTCGGTAGTAGCTGAATGGCTGAGGTCAATAATGGGAGGGAGATGTATCCCTATATATCCTTTTTGATTTCTTTTTAAAGAATTATTTTATTTTATTTTATTCATTTATTTATTTCTATTTGACCAGAGAGTGAGAGAGAGAGAGAAAGTGAGAAAGCAAGCCGCCAGATCCAGGACTCGAGCCATGGTCGGCCATGTGGTAATCCTGCGCCTTTAACCACCACGCCACCTGCCAGCCCCCAATCCTTTTCTGTATTTTGAATTTTGAACTATGTAAAGTATTTCTTATTAAAACTTTTTAAGAATTAAAATAAAATGGAAAGTCATAATTAGCCAAAATTAGAAAAACTAAAAAATTATCAAACAAAACCAAAAAAATCACTGCTAGTCCTAACTCTTCATGTCCCATCACCCCCATTTCCACCAACATTAACTGCCTAGCTTCCAAAATCAGGTTGTAAGGTAGCTAAGTGACATTTGCCTGTTCTCTCTCTGGCCCCAGGCAGAGCAAACTACTGAAGTTACGTTAGTTCTCTGACGTGCAATAACCATCTTACCATCGTTTATGGTGATATTAGCAAGATCCACAATCTTATCAGGAAGTTCTTGAAGTAATTTGCATTGTTTAAGCATTGGTTTTTCCCACTGAGATTTGCCAGTGTAGATGTTGATTGAACTGAAAAAGAGAAGAGAGAGGAACAAAAGCTTTCTCCATGGAGGACAAGGCAAGGATAGCCCTAAGGCAAATACTGAAGGGATAGGTCTTTCTTCACATGCCTGCCCCTAGTCCACCCCCAGCCTCCTGTTCAAGATAGCAAGGGCAGGAGCCCTGTTCTTCTGTGTAAAGTGAAGAAAACTTCAATATGGGGGTCAGCGGGCGGGGGTGGGGAGCAGTTGGCAATGAAACAAGCAAGAGAGCCAGGGATAGGGCATGGTAAAGACTTGCTGAGCAAGGGCCAAGGTGGATGGGTTGCCCCTCTAAACATGGCTCCTTTCTTGCGTTTTCCCTTCTTACTCCGGTCTTAAGAGGAAATTGCTGTTGGAAGGCAGTCTCTTATCTCAGAACACCAATTTACTCCAGACGATTAATATAGAATCTTCTGTAGCTCACCGGCCGTCATTTTCCACCCTCCCCAAGTTCATTTCAAGCCAGCTAACCCATTTATTGAGTACCCGCTGTATTCTCAGAATGGAGACAGGTAGCACAGACAAACAAATCAGGGTCTTATCCCTCGAGGAGCTTGTGATTCATTGATTGGGGCCTCTAAATGTAAGGACTCTAGAATTAGGCCAAATGTGAGATGAATAGCTGTATAAACAAAATTCAGTCTATCAAAGCAGCAACACTTATTTGCAACATTTGAGTTCAACTGGGTGCTGAATAGACTGAGATGGAAAAAGGACTCCCTCCCCCCCCACCACCCAAGCAGAGCGAACAGTACAAACAGAGACACAAGGCAGTGCCCACCGAGTCCAGGAGAGCAAACGGTCTTTGTGGCTAAAGCACCTGGTAAGGGATGGCACCTCCTGTGCCAGGGCAGGACTGGGAGTCCCGTCTTAGAGACTGGACTTAGAGGTTCGGACTACCTTTTTTCGAGTTTTTTTCTTTCTTCAGAGAGTGGGGCATATCCAACGGGGTTTTTACTCCAGAATTCACCTCCTACCGCTGTCTCAGCCAGGTAGGATCACAGGCACAAGTACGGGGACACCTTGGGATGCAAACTTGGGATCGTCTCATGTGGCTTTGCCATTGTGCAGCATGTTGTCCCTGCTGCCATACCTTGGGCAAATCCTGCTTGCAGCAGCGTGGGATGTGATTGTGGGTGGTGATTAGTTAGAGGGCAAGGAGACTGCTCTAATAGACGAGAGGTAGTGAAGGGCTTGTACCGGACTAGCACAGCGGGTTTGGGCAGGAAAGGCTAGATGCAAGCTCCAACTGTGACTAACAGCTGCGTGACTTGCGGACTGAGTCCATGTAGGGACGAAAAGGTAGGGAGCAGTCCATGATGTTGCTCTCTATAAATGGGCTTTTAAGCCTCTGTCAAAACCCTGCTGCCCTTCTGGTCTTGCGCACTTAAGTTAATGGCATAAACCATTAACAGCAGAGAGTAAGAAAAGACGGCTGGTGTTTTAAGAAGGAAAATCATAAAGTCAACAATAGAAGAGTAATTTAGCAAATTATCGTGGCCCATTAACAAACGAGATAGCTTCGGAGTCCAGTTTTTATAATGATCATTAATACGATGAATGTAAAACATGGACCATGTTTAATAAACCATTGCCCAAAAGGGTAACTCACATTATTGATATGAGGACAGTAATTACCACTACATAAAACTTAACAGCCTACAGAGAAACTCAAGATGAAAAAATGTCAGCCTAAAAGCAGCTGCGTTCAGGTGGGGGATTGCGGGTGACATTTTTTTCTCTTTCATTTTCTTGAAAATGTTTCTTATGTGGCATGTGTACGTTTAAGTAGGTCCAAAAGGTGAAAGAAAGGCTCTCAGTTGAGATGGAAAAAGGGAGCGGGCTCAAATTACATAGAAACGTGCTTCCAGCTAAGAGCACCTTGGCCAGTACGTACCAGAGCCTAGTGGCATTTCCATCGTCATTTCTTATACATCGAGTTTGGGCCATCTCAGTAGGGTTGGTTAAAAGCCACTTATAGGTCCCTTTGTATTTAGAGGTGGTTTCATCAGCTTTGCACTTTCCTGGCTCTGTAGAGAAAACGTATGCACATTTTAAAGGGCAAAAGCACTTAAAAGTATCCGAACATCCATTACAACCCATCATTATTATCCCGCACATAAACATCAGCAAATAAAAGAGGCAGCCCTTTCTACCAGATCATTTAAGCCAGGCTTCACTGAAAATAGCATTAAACGGAGTCTTTCACTTCAAATAAGTTACCCAGTATAACTACATGTAGGCCTTCTCCTAACAGCTGCGTGACTTGCGGACTGAGTCCATGTAGGGACGAAAAGGTAGGGAGCAGTCCATGATGTTGCTCTCTATAAATGGGCTTTTAAGCCTCTGTCAAAACCCTGCTGCCCTTCTGGTCTTGCGCACTTAAGTTAATGGCATAAACCATTAACAGCAGAGAGTAAGAAAAGACGGCTGGTGTTTTAAGAAGGAAAATCATAAAGTCAACAATAGAAGAGGAATTTAGCAAATTATCGTGGCCCATTAACAAACGAGATAGCTTCGGAGTCCAGTTTTTATAATGATCATTAATACGATGAATGTAAAACATGGACCATGTTTAATAAACCATTGCCCAAAAGGGTAACTCACATTATTGATATGAGGACAGTAATTACCACTACATAAAACTTAACAGCCTACAGAGAAACTCAAGATGAAAAAATGTCAGCCTAAAAGCAGCTGCGTTCAGGTGGGGGATTGCGGGTGACATTTTTTTCTCTTTCATTTTCTTGAAAATGTTTCTTATGTGGCATGTGTACGTTTAAGTAGGTCCAAAAGGTGAAAGAAAGGCTCTCAGTTGAGATGGAAAAAGGGAGCGGGCTCAAATTACATAGAAACGTGCTTCCAGCTAAGAGCACCTTGGCCAGTACGTACCAGAGCCTAGTGGCATTTCCATCGTCATTTCTTATACATCGAGTTTGGGCCATCTCAGTAGGGTTGGTTAAAAGCCACTTATAGGTCCCTTTGTATTTAGAGGTGGTTTCATCAGCTTTGCACTTTCCTGGCTCTGTAGAGAAAACGTATGCACATTTTAAAGGGCAAAAGCACTTAAAAGTATCCGAACATCCATTACAACCCATCATTATTATCCCGCACATAAACATCAGCAAATAAAAGAGGCAGCCCTTTCTACCAGATCATTTAAGCCAGGCTTCACTGAAAATAGCATTAAACGGAGTCTTTCACTTCAAATAAGTTACCCAGTATAACTACATGTAGGCCTTCTCATTAAAACCACCAGCTGACGGGAGAGCATTTTTTTGCTTTGTTTTGTTTTAAATTATGCATGTGCATTGAAAAAAATTAAGCTGCACAAAATATACAGAGTAAAAACTCAAAAGTTACCACTTGCCAACTGCCCGACTTCTGAGGTACCCGCTGTTCCCAGTTTGATGTGAAAAGACAGGGGACTGTAGGCTGACTTCTCTTTCCGGATGGCCACTTCCTCCATGAAGGATTCTGAATTGGATCGGGGTTTAGTAAACTCACTGTTTCTTTTCTTTCATTTCTCTTTATTTTCTTGAGAGTTTTTGTTTTGTTTTGTTTTTTGTTGTTGTTGTTGTGTGGTTTTTTTTTTTTTTTTTTTTTTTTTTTTTTTTTCCCTTCTGTTGCTATAGGGCACATGCATTCGCCAGACAGACAGAGACAGAAAGCGAGAAATCACCCCCCAGGGGGGATGGACACGCTGCAATCCCTTCTCTTCCATCCTCCTCTTGGGATCTTGGGCATACACTCACATGCGCCTGGCGTGAGTTTAAGCCGCCAGGTCTGGGACTCGAACCGTGGTTGATTACATAGGAATCCGGCGACATAGCCATTATGTCAACTGCTGGTCCCTAAACTCAGTGCTTCTGCTATGACCAGTAGAGACAAGGGAGCTCTGTTTCTGATGTTGGTGCTGAGAGACAGGACTAACTCCTCCACAGGGGGCTGCTAAGGGAAGGTTTTGTTGCCAGGCATTGTCACATTAGGGGAGATACGACCTGTGCTAAGTCTATGTAATAAGTTCCCAGTTTTTACTGAGTACTTACTAGATGCTTGACCCTGATTCGAGAAATCTTTTCCTCAGTGTAGCCTGAGAAATGACCCATCCAGCCTTGCCCTGCCATCCCCGTCTCCTCTCTGAATGAGGATGGAGGAGGCCTTCCTCTGACTCTTGAGACAAAGTCACAGGTATTGTGGGCATGGTGGACTTCGCCTGTGGCTTTAACACTTCTCTGCTTTCCATCTCACTCCCACTGCTATACAATCACAGCCAGCCCTCTGCTACTTAATTAGTCTGTCCCCAAGGATTGTACCTGCTATACTTCTTCTTTACTTGTGTTATCTGGGTTAACTCAGATTTTTTTCTTTTTTATCCCTTTTTTAAATTTTAATTTTAATTGTTTTTTGGGGAGAGGTTTTTACTATAGGGCGCATGTGCTCGCCAGAAAGACAGAGAGAGACAGAGAGACAGAAAGCGAGAAATCACCCCCTAGGGGGGATGGCTACGCTGCAATCCCTTCTCCTCCATTCTCTTCTCAGGATCTTGGGCATGCACGCACACACACCCGGCGTGAGTTTAAGCCACCAGCGCTGGGACTCAAACCATGGTCAACTACATGAGAGTCCAGCAATGTAGCCATTATGCCATCTGCTGGTCCCTTAATTTTAATTTTGACAAAGCCAAAATTATAGGACTTTTTTTTCAACCCAAGAACTTTACAATTTTCATCTGTTGAATGTTAGTTCAGTGTTTTCACCACAGTCTATAAGGGAAAAGGACTAATTTTTTTTTTTGGGGGGAAGGTCCATGTGAGAAGTCTGGGACAGATCCCAGATCACTTTCCAGGATGAATAGGCTGGCCAAATGAATCAGTCAATTAGCAAATACCTGCTGGGCAATGGGGCAGGTTTCTGGCTATCTCTGCAAAGGAGAACGAATATTCGGACCCCAATGATGGAATGGCCACTGCTAGCATTTAGAGCTGACCAAAAGCCTCTGGTAATCCCTCCAGCACTGTGTGTTTTCATAAACTCCTAAAGGTAGGTAGGTTGTCAGGGTAAGTGGATACTAAGGACGTGGTGAGGAACATGAAGAAGACTTGTCTCCTCTCTGAACTCAGGATCCCTTACTATGTGTGCAGCATGAGTTGTAGAATAAGGGGAGTGAATTTATACTGAAAAATCCTCCCTCCCCCCCAAATTACCTAGTTTTGTCACTGCAACATGTTCAGACTTCACTAATAACGTCAAATGATCTTGCGTGAAGTTTCCTTGTGTGAGGTTGCCATGTATTTTACTTTTGATCCTGTCAATCAATTCAGAGGGTGCTAGAGAAGAGTAGGCTTTTACGATGACCTGACAAGCACAGCTACAAAGCAGAGCAAAATGAAAAACAGAAGTTGTTGCAGTTATGTCGACAGAGTGCATCTTGGCCCAAAGTGCTGAAATTCTGCACAGCTGACTTAATTGGTAGTCCATAAGTGCCAAACATTTTACAGGTATTAAGTGGAAAATCTTATGACATGATAGAAAACAGCATGATGAAATCTTCTGATAACCTTTCCTCGTATCCAAAACAGACAACTCAAAACCAATTTTCAAAAACACATTTGCATTACATTGAAATTAACTAGCCATGCAATTTTTCTAGGAGTTTGTACTAATTAATAAAAAAGATGGAATACTCAGTATTTATTATTTCAGAGAAAACCTTTTGCCCTTTGGTCTCTAATTTATCCATCATTACTGCAGTAAGGTAAATTGATCCTTTGGTCTCTGCTTTATCCATCATTACTGCAGTAAGGTAAATTGGCATATGCTCAATTCGTTTTTAAAAAACGCGTTCTACAGAAAGTCTATTTCTCTAATAGAATAATATTAATGGTGATGACAGTGATCATAGCTGACATTTGTAGAGCTCTTGTTCCACGTGTTCACTTCATCCTTACAATGATCTTACGTGGGAGTGCTATTATAATTCCCATTCTCCAGATAAGGGAACTGAGCATTAGAGAACGGTGTTTCCCAGGATCACCAGGACCCATTCAGTACTTCTGTCCACCGAAAGACATGTTATAAAAGAACAGGGCTGTTCTGACCTTCAACTTATGAAGCAAGATCCTCAAACATTCTAAATTCCTCTAACATTTATGAGTGAGCACACTTCAGATTCACACATTTACCTATGTCTTTTTTCCACTTCCATTTGTAGATACAGCTTTTTGAAGAATGCATGTGTTAAGTTTCGTACCAGCTGTTGAAAGTTACACATACCCGTGCTGACTCAAAACTTCTATGTCCAATCGAAGGAATGATTCCCCACCCCCTGCTCCACGTTTAATGAAGTTCCTCATCCTACCTATTCAGTTTGGAGTCTATCTCTTCTCAGCTTTCAGTTTTGCAGTCTGAAGAGTACTGCTCTTTTTTTTTTTTTTTTTTTGAGAGATTTTCACTGTAGGGCGTGTGTGCTCGCCAGACAGACAGAGAGAGACATAGAGACAGAAAGCGAGAAATCACCCCCCAGGGGGGATGGTCACGCCGCAATCCCTTCTCCTCCATTCTCCTCTCGGGATCTTGGGCACTCACACACACGCGCCCGGCGTGAGTTTAAGCCACCGGGTCCGAGACGCGAACCGCGGTCGACTACGTGGGAGTCCAGCGACATAGCCATTACGCTAACTGCTGGTTCCCAGAGTACTGCTCTTTTTAAACCTCTCCTTTTGCAAGAAACAGACCCTCTAATCGACTCCCTGCACATTTCAATGACTTCTTTATGAGCCCTCTTTGACTATATGTCTTGTATGATGTACACCAGGCAGGTCAGCAATGACTGATGTCCCGGGAGAAGCAGGACCCTGAGTCTGAACAGGACAGAGGCCATTTTCCATATTGTTGTTATTATTGTTTTCAGTTTTTCTGCTCAGTGTGTCGTGGACCTTTCTGACCACAACAAATGCTTTATTCTTCTACTCCCAAATTATGCCCACTTTGGACTCCATTTTCCCTCCACTACAAAGAGGTAGTAGGCAGGCTGCTAGGCTATGCCGTGGCCACCCAGAACAACTTATATAATGAAGGCAAAAGCCCAATTACAGCATTTGTAAAATAACCACTGGGTACTTTGATCTCCTTCTGACAACTCTGACCAACAGGCTGCACACACGAGATTAAATGGAAGAAAAATCAGAACTAAATGTACCAGCTATGAATAAACTCAGTTCCTACCTGTATGGTACATGGGAAATTGTAGCCATTTCTTGCCCTTCTCTCTGTTCAAAATAATGCAAAAGAAAAGAACATGGTCACTGAAATATTTAAACAAATGTCACAGTGGAGGATGGGGTTGGTTGTTAACAATAATCATAATTATCCTTTACATTTATGTAATCCATTGCCACCTGCAAACCACCCTCAAAAATATTAATGCATTTAGTCCTCATACCAACTCTATGGGGTGGGGAGGGCAATGCAGGGATTGTCACCCCATCTTCTTTTACATGAAGAAGCTCGTATTCAGAGAAGTTAAGTGATCTACCCAGTACAGCTCACTGAGAAGTTACAGAACTGAAAGCAGAACCTAAGCCTTCAGAATTGAATATTAACATAGTGGTGACAATAGTGAGCATGATGCAAGACTTACTGTGTTCTAACCCCTATGCTAAGCACATAACTTAAATGATCTCAATTTATCCTTCCAACAGTCCTTATTTTACAGATGAGGCACAGAGATGTTACTTAAGTTGCCCACAATCTCACAGTCAGGAAGCAGAAGAGCAGGTATTCCAACCCAGGCAGCTTGACTACATTATCACCAACAAGCTTACACCTACTATTTGAAAGAAATATTAGTTACATCATATTATTTATAATTCATCAAATTTAAAAAAAATCTGACTCAGCTATTTATAGAAAGCATTTTTTAATTATATGTTTACTTTTATTTATTATTACTATGTTTTCATTTGACAAGAGAGAGAGAGAGAGAGAGAAAGCAAGCTGCCAGGTCCAGGACTTGAACCATGGTCAGCCATGTGGGAGTCCAGCACCTTAACCACCACACCACCTGCCAGCCCCTACAGAAAGTATTTGAAATGATGGCAGATCATTTAGAATGCCCTGTAGGCTTTACTGTCTTTTGTATAGTGCAAATGTTTATTTCATACTTAAATACCTTCAAAGTTGTGTGCTTACTAATCATTTCAGACTGCGCCACTGTAAAGCTTTAAAGCACTGGAATAAATATTAGGAATTGGCGCAAAGAGGACAGGAGATAGTTTTGCCCTACTCTGACTTCAAATCTATACAAATAGAGGGTGTATTTATTATGTGGACATTACTCTTATGATTATGTCAGTCTTAGAAAAGTCAGACTTTTCTGCACGATGTCTATAACCAAGAAATTCCACTTACCATTTACAATCCTCAAATCATTCTACACTTCCACAGTCCACGAAATGCACCTCAAAAAACTGCCATATGGTGGGCCAGACAGTGATGCAGCGGTAAAATGCAGCACTCTGGGAATCAGACCCACATGGGAAAGTTCCAGGTTTGCACACAGCGTCTACACTGAGTACTCAAGGCATGCAGGTGCCCACAAAGCTGAGATGGATTACAGAATCAGGACCGTTTAAGGAGGGGCTTCTCTCTCATTCTCCCTCTAGTTTACTCATGGAATAAATAAATTCATGTTAAAAAAATAAACTGCACATGGGGACCAGCAGATGGTATAATGGTTAAGTTGCTGGACTCCCACACAGCCAACCACGGTTGGAGTACTAGACCTAGAGAGTTCAAACTCACATTGGGTGCATGTGTTTGCATGCCCAAAATCCTGAAAGGTGAGTGGAAAAGAAGGCATTGTAGTGTGGCCATTCCCCCGGGGAGTAATTTCTCGCTGTTTCTGTGTCTTTCTCTGTCTCTCTGGTGTGCACAAGTGCCCTGTAGCAAAAAACTTCTCTTGAAAAGAAAAATAAATAAATAAACTGCACATGGATAAGTCAGAAAAACAAGGGATGGTTTTCTTGATGAGTTCTTGCACCAACGCAAAAAGAATGATGCAATCGCACCCTTCATTGTCACAACTGAGTCTTGCTTGATAATGTACACTCAGCTGGAAGAGCTATTCACTAACATCTAATCAGGTATAGGATGGGTCACCAGAAGACCTTTCTTCAAGGTATTACTTACAATAGCTTGGTCCATGGCTATGTCTTCCTCAGAAGTCTCTCTGTATCAAAAGCATCACAAAATAATAATAATAATAAAAATGAAACATAGTACCAAATACACAAGGCACAAGATCAGGATAAAGACTACTCTGAAGCGCAACAGTAGAATCCCCTTGGCTTGGAATTCAAGGCTCCAAGGGGATACTACTGTTGTGAACTCGGCAGTTATTAGCATACCCAAACGGTGGTAAGGTTTTCACTCAGCAATCTCACTGTCAGGAATCTATCCCATAATGGTACCAGCATGAGCAAATAAAAATAAATATACAAGGGTGGAAACAACTCAAATGTCCATCACAGGATGATTGAATAAATTCATTATAGCACACCCATACAAAACAATGCTGTGCAGTTATTAAAATGAGTGATCTAGATCTGTAAGTATTGGCCTGGAAAGATGTACATGACGTATTATACAGAAAGAAAAGAAAGTTGTAAACTGTGTAGAGAAGAATCCTATTCTTTTAGTAAATTCATGGGAACAAATCTAGAGGACTACATAAAATAAGCTGTCAACAGAAGTTCTCACAAGGATGAGGAAAGGTAGGTTTTCAGAGATTTTTCACTATCCATGTAACGTATTTGCATAAAGCCCTAAGATTTGATGATGGCCAACGTATTATTTTGGTAATAAGGAAAGACAACAGACACAATTTTTAAAAAGAATGTTGTATACCTCAGCCATCTCCAGTTTTCTCTTAACAGCTGCTATGGACTAAATGCTTCTGTCCTCCCAAAATTTGTAAGTTGAAGCCTACTCTGCAGTGTGATGGTATTAGGAGGTGGGGCCTTTGGGAGATAATTAGGTCATGAGGGTAGAGCCCTTATGAGTGGAGTTAGTGCCCTTATAAAAAGAAATAAGAGAGTTTCATCTCTCTGCTCACTGCCATGTAAGGGCATGACAAGAGAAAGCCCTCACCAGAACTTGATTGTGCTGGCATCCTGACTTTTCAGCCTCCAGAACCAGAAATAGATGTCTGTGGTTTAAGTTCCCCAACCTATGGTATTTTTGCTATATTACTTTGAACTAAAGCTATATGCACTGTGGATTTACTTCCACCCATGTGTATGAAGATACTTACACCTATTTATATTTGAAAGTGTGAGAGAAACCAAAATCCCAGTGTGCAGAAGATAGGCAGTCACATTTAGTGTTCAGAAATCAGCTTAACATGGCTCAATAGGCCATGCCTATTTTTCAAAGAGCGTCTCCAGGTGTCTCTTTAATAGAAGACTCGTGTAGGTACAGGATAAAAGCAGAAGAAATATTTCTCAGGGGGCAGATTTGCCTTTGCCATGGTTTCCTTGATACCACTCAGTGCCTGCCCACTTCTCTTCACTTGCCTCTCAAAATGGGAGCTCAGAGCAAGTCTTGGGCTAGTCAACATCCCTCACTTTAAACATTTCAAGTTCCCTTTGGAATTTCAAAATCCTGACAGTGCATCATCTAAAAGTAAAAGGCCTTATACATTTTTATGCATTGGCTCTCTCTATCCTTTCATCCTTTTAAGATTTTCTCTTCTAAGTCACAGAATCATAGAATATTAGAGATTAAAGGAGCATTCGAGGTAACTCAGGCTATTTCTACTACTTTCCCTATTTATTTCCTTCTGTTTTGTTTTCCCATTGGCTTTATATCCTACAGTAATATACAAACTTCTTCCTCATTCTAAAGAGAACCTCTATACTCAGAAGGGAAGATGCCACTAAAAACGGGCAGCTCCTCAATCCCAGACATAAAGAAAGGAAACCCCTTCTGGATAGGGATGGACCCAAATGTCTTCAAATTACCCTTCAGGACTTTCAGGTTTTTCACATACCTGCTTTTGATTAGGATAGCCAGATTAGCAACAGAAAATTCACTGTCCTGAAATTTAGAATCCAACTGTAAAAGACCAAAAAAAAAAAATCAGTTTTATTAATAGTATTCTCACTCCTCTATTTCAATTCAGCAAAGTCACCTGAGACAATGTGATCATTAAACTGCATTCATTATTTCAGTAGGCTCAACATTTCCATCCTCTCCACTCAGTTTTTCAATTTACATTTTACCCACTGTTATGAGCTGAATTGTGTCACTTTCCCACAAGAAATTCAAATGTTGACGTCTAACTCCTAATGTGATTATATATGGAGATAAGGCCTCGAGGGAGATAATTAAAGTTAAATGAGATCATAAAGGTAGGGCCCTAATCTAATAGGGCTGGTGAGAGGAAGAGAGATCAAGGATTTATGTACACAGAGGAAAGACCATGTGATGACCTAGTGAAAGGGCAGCCATCTGCGAGCCAACAAGAGAGGCCTCACCAGAAACCAGTCCTGCTAGCACCTTCATCTTGGACTTCTAGCCTCCAGAACTGTGAAAAATAAATGTCTGTTTTTTAAGTCACCCAGTCTGTGGTATCTTGTTATGGCAGCCTGAGCAGAGTAACACACTTACCCATTTTCAAGCACTTATATTCATGTGATATAATAAGTAAAATTATACTCTGAAAGTAAATGCTGATAGGAAGAGAGAGGAGACAGATATGATCATTCACTGTTGAGGTGAGGTGCAAGTTGGTATCTCTTATTTGGGAGTCTATTTAGTAGTAGCTATTAAAGTATAAAATGTTCATGTCCTTTGATAAAACAATCCAAATTCCAGGAATTTACCCTTTAGAAATACTGAAGTGCCTTCAAAATTAATTGCAAGGGCATTGGTTTCAGCATTGTTTCTAAATAGAGAAAAAAAATAGAAACAACCCAAATGTCTACCAATGAATACCTGGATTTGAAAAGAAAATCCTGCATTATGACCATATAGCAAAATTCTGTGCATATGTTAAAGTATGTGAAGTATATCTATATGACTGTATTAATCAGCATGATACATTCAAAGATACATGATTAAGTAGGGGGAAAGCAAGTTGAAGAAGCATAATTACTGTGATTCCAGTTATTTTTGTAAAAGAACACATATGCATTGATGTTAGACTATGTACAGAAAAATCTAAAATCTTAAGTTATTGAGATAACACAAGGAGCAACATTAGAGAGGACATTTACTTTCTGGGTTTTAGGTATGTCTGAGTTTTTCATAGAGAATATGTTTTAGTCTTACTATCAGAAAAATGTCAGGATAAATAAAACATTCTGTTTGAAAGGAAAAAAATTAAAACACAGAAAACAAAAATTCTTAAATATAATGTCACAGACTCTTATCACTATTCTCCTACTTTCTCCAAATATGAAAATTTTGCAAAGACTCAGAATTTGTGTCACCGGAGGGAAATGTACAGATCTGAACAAATGAAAATAATAACATTCCATAAAAGCTTTCAGCATTGGTGCTATGAAAGAGGGACTGAGTACATCCTCACAGTGTTGCTTAGTGAGTAGTTACATTTGCAGCCAAAAAATCAAAACTAATTAGCTGTGAAATAGATTGTCAGTAGAAAAAAGTAAAGACTCGTTTTAATCTACTCTGTTTTGTGATATACACACATGAGCATGCACACATACACATACATCTGCATGTACCGTAACTATCCAAAAGATGATTTTACCCAATTTCCTACAAATTCGTGTATAACACTGGTAATAGGGATCCTTGGCTCTTCATCAAAGACAGAGAGGCTCATTTCAATATTGTAGAAGGAAACTGTAATTTAAAATAAGGAGGTTAATTTCATTCATTTAGTTCGATAAATTTAGCTTCTGTTATTTTAATCAAAAGTGCTCTCCATTTTAAAGCAAATCAAACAATGATGTTTCATTCTTTCTTAAACTTTGCCTAATTTTTTTCAAGTAAAATCTAACTCAGTTTCTAAAAGAAAAAAAAAAAAGCCATGCTATAATATATATGAGCCCCAACCCTCACAATGCCATTAGGTTAGGCCGAGAGAACACAGATGATGGTATTGAGCCTTGTCAAGACAATCAACTCCTCTTTGAAGGAAGAAATTTGACAGTATTTAGAATAGAGGGCCTCTTTCTAGGTCTGATGTTATTCAATTTACTGGTTCCCAGACATTTTTTTTTTTTTTTGAGAGGTTTTTACTATAGGGCACATGCGCTCACCAGAAAGAGAGACTGAGAGACAGAAAGCAGTAAATCACCGCCCCCATCCAGTGGGGATGGCCATGCCACAATCCCTCCTCCTCCATTCTCCTCTCAGGATCTTGGGCATGCATGCACACACGCCCGGCATGAGTTTAAGCCACCGGGTCCGGGACTTGAACCATGATCGACTACATGGTAATCCAGTGACACAGCCATTATGCCAACTTCTGGTCCCCCCAGACTTTTATATTTTTCGGACTGACTTCAAGCAAGCAAGGAAATAAATCAAAAAATACAGGATATACATATTTAAAACGTGTTGCCACCTTCTATGTTCTATTATTTTATAAAACAAAGCACATGTTTACATAAAAAATAAAATGAGTATGTTCTCAAAATAAGGATGCAATTTCTCAAGAATATCAATGTGTCAGCCACATTCTAAAATATATATATAACACTATCCATGAAAATGTTATCAGCAAACACAGGAGTCTAGTGATTCTTCTGAGAGGATTTCCCTTACAGGCGTAGGTGGTTTTATTGTTGAATTGAGGAATGTATTATAAAGTGAAACAAAATACAAAGGTTTTTTTCTGGGGGGGAGGGTCTTTCACTTCATCTAACTGCAATGTCAAGAACCACCAATTTTGGCTCCACATTTAAAAGTAAAACAGGGGGCTACCATCCTACTCTAGATCTAATTATTTAGGCATTTCCCTGATTTCTACACAGTCAATGGACATTCTACAAACCTCCCAGATTTCCATTCTCATTGTCCAACAGATTACCAGTCCATTCAAAAACCAAATTTCAGGACCAGCAGTTAACATAATGGCTATGTCGCTGAAATCCCATCTAGTCGACCATGGTTTGAGTCCCGGACCCAGTGGCTTAAACTCACACTGGGTGTGTGTGCATGCATGCCCAAGATCCTGAGAGGAGAATGGAGGAGAAAGGATTGCGGCGTGGTCATCCCCCAGGGAGTGATTTCTCACTCACTGTCTCTCTGTCTCTCTCTCTGTGTTTCTGGCAAGTGCACGCGCTCTATAGCAAAAAACAAACAAACAAAAAAACAAACAAAAAAAACCTGTCAAAAAGAAACTTCACAGTCTCACAAGATCATTTGTTCTGAAAAAATAACCTTTTTAAAATTTCTATGCCTTCCTTTCTGATCCAGGTTTTTTCCCCCTTATTTCCATCCTGCTCTTATTTATCCTGCTAAACTTATTTTTTTGAAAGTTAAAATTTGCAGGAATGTTCAAAATTTGAACAGTATTGGGGCTGCTAGGTGGCATGGTGGTTAAAGGCGCTGATCTCCTACATGGTCGACTGCAGTTCGAGTCCCAGACCTGGTGGTTTGCTTTCTTACTTTCTCTCTCTCTCTCTTGTTCTGTTTCTCTCTGGTCAAATTAAAATAAATAAATAAAGTTAAATAAAATATTTTTTAAATTGAACAATATGGAAGCCAAATACTCCCTGGCCATGGATAAGCATTCCTATATGACATTCCTACACAGAATTGGAAAAGGCCGAGACCTGAATAAGAGCAATTAGAAAAGCAAGACAGGGTATCTTTGGGTGTTTTTCTGGGGTGTAGTCAATGTGGTCAAGCCTAAGGCCAAATAGACCTCTTACTAGAAAGGACTGATGTTCCTAGTCCATATTCAGATTGGCAGAGTCAGAGTCAGAACATCAAAAATAAAATAGGTGGAAAGGAGGATAAGAAATATCATACAGAGTTGAAAGATACATTTGAATTATACTTTAATAAAGCAAGGGAAGACAGATAGCAGGAAAATTGTGTTTGGACAAAGTACCCACTGTACCCACTGTTTGAAGGAGATACGAAACACCTACACCCTTCTTTATCCTCTCCTGCCTTCAGAGAACTGGCTGTCTTGGAGAACATATGGCCCCCTGTGCACATGTTCTGTTAGGGATACACTGCACACATCATGGAACAGTACCTGTGTACACAATAGCAACAGGTGAAGTTGTTGTTTCCATAGATATAAAGTAAGGTGTGGGGTCCAGCCAGGTTGTCTCAAAAGGGGAAGAGGATAGTGAAGACACAGTTGCTATAGAAGGATGTATCATTCTAGTGGATGTGTGAGGAAATAAGTCTCCAATAGCAGTGGACATAGTAGTGGTTATATTTAGAAGGGAGATCAGTGTGGGCTTAGGAAGAATTAAAGTAGGGGATGCTGATGCAGCTGGATTTCTGCTCCATGCAGATGTTATCACAGCGCTAGGCGGATGTATGGAACTGATGGATAGGGTGTGGTCGGATTTAGAAGATGACATAATCATTCCACTAAAGAATGGAGGTTGAGACACAATCCTGGAGTTGGCAGTCACAGTTGCTCTGGAGGATCCCTCCAGGGGTGTGGAAATGTATACACTGTCATCTGTTACTTCTATAGACATAGAGAGAGAAGTTGGGAAGCCAGTAGAGATATCATCCGGTATAAATGTAGGAGTAGTTTTGCTCAGTACAGTGCTTGCATTAGCAAAGGGTAGTGTAAAGTTAGTGAAGGAGTGCTTTGGTGTCATGTCAGAAGTCAGAAATGTAGGTTTTGACACCTCTACTGTAGAGGACGTTATAACATGAGGAGCATTAGATATAGTGTTTAAAGGAGAAAGTGAAGGGAGATTGGATAGGATCCAAGTCAGCATGGGTGAAATAGTAGCCTTTAAAATTATAGATCCTGAAGCAGCACTAGAAGAATTTGATATGAGTGTGTTCCTAGGAGTTATAGCTATGGATGTTTTCTCAAACATGTGCTTCATGTCAGCCAAAGTGGTAGGTATACCTTCTGAAGATGTTGAAAATGGAGAGCTCTCAGAAAGCCTAAAGGTAGAAGGAATTTCTGATGTGGAAATTGATGACATTGTCATAGCATCTCTAGATACTAGACCACTCTGAGAAGTTGAAAATGTTGACAAAGACTCAGGAACAAGGTACGGTGTCTCTGTTTTCATATTATTGGGTGTAGGTGCATGAGCAGTGGTAGTTGAAAGAAATGATGTCAAAGAGGATGGATTTGTACTGGAGAGGGTCCATGAAGGGGATAAAACAGGGGTATTCACAAATGTGGCACTGTTGATTAGATCAACTGTTAAGGAAGTATTTTCTAATGAGAAAGTTGTTTTTCCTATATTAGAATAAAGGTAAGTGGTGGTGCCTTTTATATTTTTTGTGGGTCTGGGAGTACTCTTAAAGCTACTCAAAGATGGGGAACCTTGAATGTTCAAGGAGATGTGGAGATTATATGAAGGAGTAGGTGAAAGCATACTTTCAAGAACTGCAGTTCTGGAATAAGTATTTGTGAGAGCTGTCACTCTACCACTTTTCACAGTACATAGGGAGCTGTTGGTAACACCAGATAATATGCCCAGACTTGTATCCTCATCTCCTTGTGATGGCTGTTGGGTTGTTGATATAAACGGTAAATATGTGGTCTTTGTAATGGGGGAAATAGCTTCAGTGTTCATAGAACTGAGGAGAGAGGAGGTAGTGGCTCCTATAAATGGAGTTACTATCCCAGCCTTAATAGTGGTTGGATTGGTTTTTACAGAAGGAAAAGTTGGCTCCATTAGAGAAGAGAAAGATGTAGGTATTCTCTCTGTCATTTCCAAAGTAGTGAAAACAGAGGAGACCATTTCACTTTTTGAAGTAGGTTCAACATATGTCACAGGTGTGACATCTATTGTATGGTCATAGTAGTCCTAGGGGTAATTGAAGACCATAAAGCAGAGAATAACCCAACTGCTGTGGAAGTGTCAGAAGAAACAGCTGCAGGTGAGAAAATGGAGTCATTAATTGGCATTGAAGACATCTCAGACACAGGCCTAGAAGTGGCTATAGAAGGATTTTTCAAACAACCTGAATGTGTTGTTTTAGGAGACTTACTCATTAGTATTGTGGGAGTGTCAGAAAAATTTTTGGAGGTGAAGGCAGTGACATTAACTGGCAACGAGGACATCTGGTAAGTGGGAATGGGTGTTGCCAAAGAGGTTTTCCCAAGAAATGTTGGAGCTTCATTTGTAACAGAAAGAGCTGTAGTGATCCCATCAGTAGAGATAGTTGTAAAATTGGCATTAGATAGCCCAATTGTAGAAAGATACAAAGGCTCAGGTGAAGTCTGGGTGCTTTCGGAAATGGAAAAGGGAACTGATGTCACCTCAGGCTCAGTCCTAGGTGAAGGCAAGTATGAGAGAGTTGTGTTGATGTTCATAGGATTTGATATTGTGGTTGTCCTGGAAGCTGTAGTATCTACAGAGGTCATATCCTGGCTGAATGAGACAGGGTGAGTCACAGAGGTGGAGCTTACTATCACTTCTCCAGTCCTAGGAGTGTATGTTGAATAGACACTCGCGTTTTGTTTTACAGAAGACAAAAATGTGGTGATTGTTGGAGTTTGTGAAGGGAGAATTGTTTTCCCAAGACTGGTAGACATTTCTGAAACATGAACATCTACTCCAACCTCTGTGTTACTTGAGGTTGAGGTAGGTGTAGTTTGTGTGCTCCCGGAAGTGGGAGATGAAGTGGAATTCCCATCAGATGGGGTCCTAAGTGGAATCTCTGAAGATGAATAAAATGAATTCTCTGGTGGAGACATTTCTATCACCCCCATAGTTCTAGGGGTGTTTTCCAGGGAGGTGGTCATCTTCTCTTTGTCAGAAGGTAAGGTAAGGCCAGTTACCAATCTGGTGGGGACTGGTGTGTTTATAGAACTTGTGGAAAACTGAGAAAAGTGAACATCTACTGAGGTAGTAAGCTTATTGGCAGAGGTGTCCCACAACATCGTCCCATCAACAGCAGCGGTCTCTGTGGTGCCAGTACCCAAACTAACAACATCTCCACCACCACTGAAAGTATGTGGGAAGCTGAGAGAATAGGTAGAAGTCTTCTCCACTTGAGATATGGATTGAGTTGCTGCTGGTGTAGATGTAGTTGAGATCACATGAGTGGAGGACACAATAGGAATGTTTTCAGGGGGAAGTTTTGAACAGACAAGGGTGTGTGTAGATGGGGTTATTGTATCAACTGAGGTGGAAGGAAGGATGGTTACAGCTGTAGTTGTCACAGGAGTGGGTGCTCTCAATGAGGAGATTGGAGTTTCTGTTGGAGAGGAAACCGCCATGGGTGTCATCTTGACAGAGATCACTGTGGCCTCTGAAGTGGTATGAATCGAGTCTCTGTGAGTAGTTATGGTATTGCTGGTTGTGGAAGCAGTTTGATCCAATGATGGCACTAATGCTGTGGTAACTGTGACTGATGACATAGTTGAGATATCTGAGAGCAAAGATGTGGAGAAAGCCCTGGCCAGTGTAGAAGGCTCAGGCATAGTCACCGTAGTCTCATTAGATGCCACCATAGAAGTGACAGGAGAGACATTATCTGGCAGTGAGAATACATGGGTAACAGGCTCAGGTGTTACTGAGGAATGAATAGCTGTAGGCTGTGGAGACAAGATACCAGTAGACAAGGGCATAGTTGTCTTGTCTGTAACGGTGGTGGTGAAATTGGTCCCAAATATCCTTGCAGTGGAAGCACCTAATTGTTCAGGAAATGTCTGTGTGCTCCTAGAAGTGGGAGATAGAGTGGAATTCCTCTCAGATGTCTCTGAAGTCCAATGTGATGTATAGGTGTGGGTGAAATTCAAGACTCCTATAGTCCTATTGTATAAACTTGTAGGTGTAGTTTTCACCAGTTTTGTGGGAAACCAACTTCCTCTCACTTCAGTAGTTGCAGTTTTATTGTCTAAAGGAGTAGTGGAGTTTTCTGTGTCAGGAAAAGGGGAAACAGTGACAGAAGTTGTTGCCATTTGTGCTAATTTGTCTGTAGGTTCCAACATTGTTGAAAATGAAGACACCTCAGTCACTGCTGCTATAGTTGATTTTTCCTTAAGATAATGAGAAGTTGTTTCCTTTCTTGTCACAATAGCATCAAATTGTGTTGTTGCAGATTTTGGTACAGAGGCTGTTGTATCTCCAAATGTAATTACACCACTTGTTTCTGTTTGTGTGGTTTCAGATGCATTCTCCTCGGTAGAAAAATGTGATTTAATATCAGCAATGGTAGATATTATATCTACTGGTGGAACCGTCTCACCTCGAGTTGAATAAATTTCACTTACAGCTATTGTAGACATAGGGATGGATTTTAGTAGTGAGGTGGTAAGTTTAAACTCAGGCAGTTTGGTAACAGATGTGGTTCCAGAAATAGTAGAGAAATTAGTAAACCATGGAGATGTCAATTTGGAAAGAGCTGCTGTATATCTGGCTGTGGTAGCATCAGCAGTAGTGGTAGTCTTACTCTGTGTGGATATTTCTGGTGAGGTAATAAAATTTGTGGGTCTATATTGCGTATGTTGTGTATTAGCAGTACTCCTATGGAATGCTGATGTAAAATTTTTATTAGGCACAAATGTAAGTATGGTGGTTGTATTTATAGATGTCAGAAAGGTCTGGTCTGGTCTGGAAGTCCAAGTCGTCTCATTGGTGGAGAACAGATGGTTAACTTCATCAGTCACAGATATAGAACCTGACTCAAATGTCTTAGATGTGGAAGTTGATCTAGTAGAAGTCAAAGTAAGCATGTGTTCACTAGTTGAGGCTGGTTTTTGGGTGTATACTGGTACTTTGATTGTGGGAGAAGACATAGTTTTAGTCACTGTAGGTGCAAGTGTGATTCCAGAAGTTAAGGCTCTATGTGTGGTCTCAGCATTGATCACCGTCTGTACATTCTGAGTTCTGGTGAATGGAGAGAATGTCATAAAAGTAAGGGCCATAGAAGAGGTCTCTTTTGGCATGGAGGTAGATACGACATCCTCTACTCTGGGTGCCGAGACGTCCTGGAAATGTGTAGATGTCAGCCCTGGTTCAGCTGTTCTTAGAGCATGAGTAATCTCAGTTGGCCTAGTTGGGAATGTCACTGAATGAACTGTAAATGCTATTACTGTATCAGTAGTTGCCATTGTAGATGCTGTCTGATTTCTAGGAAATACAGAATCCACTGGAGCAGCTGTGGATATGAGCACAGACTCGGGTGGTGATGCTGATGGAGTAGTTTTAATTGAAGTCTTTTCTGCAGTGGACCAAGGTTCAGTTCTGGCAGCTGTAGATGCAAGCAATTCCTGTATGGCTGTGGAGACAGGAAGTGCCCCTATATCTGTGGATACGTGTTTGGGCCAAGATGTTGTAGACATGGATATTGACTCAATGGCTGAAAATAAAGATGTTGTCTTCATAATGGCAGACTGAGACTCAATTGTCGAAGTTTGGGATACAAGTGAATTCTTGGTAGATTCAGATGAAGGTAGGAAATTAGTAGCTACAGTCGGATGAAAGTTTTCAGTAGTCATGGCTTCAGCCATTTTTGTTGTTCTTGTTCTTTCTGAAGATGATAATTTAGTTACATTCATGGAATTAGTAGTGATGCCTGTGGACATACTCTGGGTAGGCAGAGTGATGGTTGCTGAAGTTGATAAAATGTCTGGTGAAAATGTAGCTGCCTCAGATATGGATGTCTTTAAAAAATTTGGTGCAGTTGTTTCCAGAGGTGGAGATGTTGTATTGGAATATGATATGGTTGTATAATCAGTAGCAAATAAAGGCATGCTTTTAGACATCACTGTAGAGGAATACACAGTCTTTTGTGGTTTTAATTCAGTGACTTGAGATGAAGTTGTCAATTCTATTTGTTGGGTAATAGTTGTATTTGTCTCTTGAATTGTCATATTTTCAGAAACAACTGAAAAAATCAGAAAGCATATTTTACTTTGGATTCAGAATTAGAAATCAGAGACAATTCTTTAAGAAAGAGCTTTAAAATTTCATTTATAAAGAGAGGTAAGTATCACAGATATAATCAAATCACTTGATTACTTGTTTTTTCTCAAAATAATTTTCTACTTTGTAAAACCTCTAAATGGTTCTTGTAACACTCTGGTTAAGTAACCAGTAGGAGTATATCCAATCCTTGTAGATTCCATAAAAGACATAGGTACCCCTAAGAGAGGGACACATGTTAGACCAGTGCACTCATAAAAAGAATTAACTTTGGAAATGGACTAATTCCTTGGAAAATGCAGCTAGCAAAACTCACTTATGGAGAAACAGATGACTTGAGTAATCTTACATTTATTAAATAAATTAAATTATGCAGTCAAAAACTTTCCAAAAAAGAGATCAGCTTTGGATTTAAAAAGATATAGTTTTAAATTCTGGTTTTGTAACTTACTCAGAATGTAATCTTGGACTAACTATTTAACCTCTCTGTGTTTCAATTTCCTCCTCTATAATGTAAAAAAGACTATAATAACACCTACCTTATAAATTTATTGTGAGAATAAAGTGAACTAATGTGTGTAAAAAACTTCATGTAGTACCGACACACAGTAAGTGCTCAAAAGTACTCAACTTGACCTTGGCTTAGTTGAATTTTATCACTCATTTAAATACTATAGACTGAATTTTGTTTTCTTTTCTAATTTTACTAGAAGGCATCTGTGCTCACCAAAGAGAGACAGGAAAGGAGAAAGACAGGGAAGGAGAGAGAGACAGATAAACAGACAAATAAAAAGTTGAGAAAGCACTGCCCTCGATCATGGGGAATGGTCATATCGCAATGCCTTCTCCTCCATTTCTCCATCTTTTTAGGATTTTGAGTGCACAAACACATGCACCTGGTGTATTTCTCAAACCTCTGGGTCCAGGACTTGAACTCCATATTCAGCCCTGTAAGATCCAGCCACCTTAACCACAGGTTGGCCCAAGAATACTTTTATCTATATCCTCGTGATTAAACTTTTTGAACATGCACCACTTACATATTCATCAATAATTTAGACATGTATACATAACATTGTATTATGTATATTATAAACATAAACAATGATAAAAATGTTAAAAGGTTATGATAGAATAAATGTAAATAGAAGTTGCAATATATTTTTCCTATACTGTATGCACCTCACTTTGAAGGCCAATAGAACCTAGATTATGGCTTATGCCTCAATTAAATATAACAAGTATTGTGAGTGCTATTCTAAATCCCATGAAAAATGCAGTTTATAGCATGATTACTTCTCTCAAAGAAATCTCACTCTCATTAGAGAAGTCTTATATTACTGAAGTATTTTAAAACAATAGTTTTAAACAAAAATATAATAATAAAATAATGATTAAGTTTATAATAAGCAATGAAATGTAATCAGATTATCTATTGATGATAATATATATGAGAATATCTTTGACTTGACTAATAGGCACTGTATTCATGCTGGGAAAAACCATTTTGTACTCTGTAAAACGTACAGTAATTAAATGTAAAGTTTTAAAAATAAATACAATCAATCAGGTTTTAAATGTTTCTAAAGTACAATAGGAGAGCAGTGAAGTGAGAGATCAACACTACCTCAAGCTAATAAGGGAGTTTTATCTTAGAAGATGTAAGCTTTTGAGAAATGATGGGGTTCAGGCAGAGGAGGTAAAGGCACATGGCGATGAAGATGAAGGCAGTAAAAGATCAGTGTAGCTGGGAGTGGGAGGGAGTGTGTTGGATACTAATAAGAAACAATATAGGATTATTCCAGGACCTGAAGGGAAGAGTGCAGAGAAAGATGAGACAAGATAATAGAGCAGCTGCCATGTACTGAGTACTTGCTACAAGCTAAGTATGGTGCCACATGCTATCTCATTAACCCATCTGATGACCTGTATAGTAAATATTACAATTATCACCATTTGTAGAGTTGAGAATAAATGGACTGTCAGAAACCTTACATGAATTGTTTCAATTCATACTTGGAATTTAAATAAAGATTTATCATTAGTGCTCTAAACTGCTATGCCATTTGGAAGGGTGTAGATTCTTGAGCAAGGGGAATGAGTTCATAAAAAGTAGTCTTTAAGGAAAATTAATTTCATGGGAGTGATCACAATGGTTAGGAATGGGAGGAAAGTGAAGGCAAAGAGACTCTTTGGGTGGGATGCTAGTAGAGTCCTCTTCCCTCCACTGTCCCGCACCAACTCTGGGCCAACCCTACTGCCCAGCTCCTCTGTATCTGCACTGAGCAGTCAAGCATTGCTGAGCACAGTCTTACAAGAAGATAAATTAGTATTTCTTTTAAAAAAAATTTTTTTGGAGAGGTTTTTGCTATAGGGCGTGTGCACTCGCCAGAGAGACAGAGAGATACAGAGAGACAGAAAACGAGAAATCACTCCCCAGGGGGGATGGCCATGCCATAATCCCTTCTCCTCCATTCTCCTCTTGGGATCTTGGGCACGCACGCACATGCACCCAGCAGGAGTTTAAGCCACTGGGTCCGGGACTCAAACTGTGGTCAACTACATGGGAGTCCAGCAACATAGCCATTATATCAACTTCTGGTCCCAGTATTTCTTTTTTAATTTTGTAAATTTATTATTAGTATTCTTATTCAAGAATTCAATTGCTATACATCTTTTATATTATAAAGAGACTTTATTAAGCATGATAAATTAATATTTCTATAAATTCATAAACACCAATCCCAAATAAGCCCTAACATTGCCCAGCCATCCTCCTACTTTTCTCTGGTGAATTTATGCTTCTACTCTATGTAATAACTTTTTCAAACCTTCCCTATTCTCAAATTCCACTTCCACATATTTATCAGATAATCATTCCTACTATTTCAAAGGGAAAAAATTATTGAAATCATCAGAAACTCAACTGTGCTTTAGATCCTGTCAATTCCTACCATCTCAGAAATCTTAAACCATCAGTTAACACTTCCTTTTCCCTAATAAGCCTTGCCCTCCTGATTTAGAGCATGTTCTAGTCTCCTGCAACAAAAACTGACCAGCTGCAGAGGTGCAGCAGTAACATAGCACTACATCATGCTGAAGCCACATGGGAAAGTCCTCAGTTCATATTCTGAGGTCTTCTTGTACACACTAGGCATAGGATCCTGGATGGATGAAGCTGGAGATGGATCATGGCATGAGGGCCCTATTGGAGGTGCCTATCTCTCGACTTGTCTTCCTCTCTCTTTCCATCTCTATCTCTCTTTCTGTCTCAGAGGAAACAATTTCTAAAAATAAAAAAAAAAAAAAATTAAAGCCCTACATCCCTCTGCAGGTTCTGCCTTATCTATTGCCCCCCCCATCATAGCAAAATTTGTTTCTTTTTTAAATTATTTTTTCTTTATTTACTTTTTTTTTTTTACTTTTTACTTTGCTATAGGACATGTGCACTCACTGGAGAGGGGAGAAAGAGTGAGAGAGAGAGAGAGAGAGAGAGAGAGAGAGAGAGAGAAAGTGAGAAATCACCCCCACTCCTCAGGAGTGGTAGCCTTACCACAATCCCTTCTCCACCATTTTCCTCTCAGGATTTTGGCGAGTTTGCATATGCACCAGCATGTTTTCAAAGCCCCTATGTCCAGGACTCAAACCATACCATCAGCCATGTGGGATCCAGCTGCCTCGACCTCCATGCCACCTCCTTATCTTACCCAAATTTCTTTTCAAAAAGTGTATTTACACTGGATGTCTCCACTTCCCTTCCCTTATTTTTAACCCACACTGATCTGGGTTCTGCCATCATTATTAAGCTGTAAAACAATCTTTGAGTAGTTGATGTGTAAATATTTTCTCAAAAAATATTTAAAACCACACTGTCTCTATTGTTATAGAGTCACAAAAAAATTTAACAAATATTTTGAACATTATCTTTAAAATTCAGTTTTTAAATTTTGAAAGTTATTTATTATCTGCCAAGAACTATGGAGTATGAGCAAAAATTTTTTATATGTAAAGTAAATCTTTGTGGGAAAATGTAAAATAAGTAAATGATAAAAATATCAAAAATAAAAAAAACAATCATTGAGACCACCAATGGTCACCATATAGACAAATACTATGGATATTTTTTAATCATCATATTTGACCTCTCAACAACTTTCACCAGTGTTGACTACTCCCTCCTGGAAAAACAGTTTTATTTTTCACTATTTTTAATGAATTTCAAACTTTCATTTATTACAACCTCCATTTTATAATGTTTCTTCTTATGTGCAGTCTCTGGCATATCTTTGCATACTCTTGAGCAATTTGTTTGTCAAACATTTCACTATCTTGAGATAGCTTTTTAAAAGCCTACAAGGTTTCTTTAGCAGTAGTAATGAGTGAAAATACTGTTCACTGGATTCCATTACAGACATTCTCTTGGGTTTTCTCCTACTCCTCTATCTACTTTGCAGACTCATCCTATTTTACCTGGCTAGTGTGCTGTCCCAGCACCTTTTCTTTTCACTATAATTTCTCCACACCTAGGATTTCAATTTACACTTAAACACAGATGAATCCCAAAGTTATAACTCTGATGAAATCTCTGTTCTGAACTCCACATTTATATAACCAATTGCCTTACTAGACATCATCTCAGATATCTCATTAATACCTCAAACTCGACATGTCTCAACTTGAACTCATTATCTTCTCTCCAAACCAGGTCCTCTTCAAATATTCCCTTACTGAATGACACTTCCATACATTCAATTACACAAACAAAAACACCCTCCCTCTGCCTCTTTCATTCTTTCACTCACCTGCCATAGCAACGCATAATCTTGTCCTATAGATCTTATGTAAATATCCCTTGATTTCATCAATTTCTCTCCACCTTCATCACTTGCCACCCCAACCAAATCACCATTATGTCTCACCCAGACTACTGCAGTAGCCTTTCAAGTGAACTCTCTGCCATGC